TGAATGATTAAACAGGTAAGGAAATGAATAAGTGAAAGAAATGAAGAAAACATTTTAGACTGGTATTCCACATCTCTCTGCGTGTGCTCCCTTCAAAGGACACATTTTCTGAATCCTACTACACACCCCAGGCATTTTGTAATTAATCATCGAGACCAGTGTATGAGGCAGGCATTTTAACTCTGCTTTTTGGATGAAGGGCTGAAGGCCCACCGATGCAGTGCCTTGCCCACGCTACGTAACTAGCACAGCTAGAGCTTAAACATCGGTCTAGCTTAACTGCAGTGGCCTTTTCACCACTCTGAATTTAAGACATAATAAATGTTCAAACCAGTATAATTATGGGAGCACTGCTTTAGGGAGCAGCTCTGGGGAGCAGTCAATTTAATGTAGTCTTTGAAGAATTCAGGCTTACATTGCGTCTTTTAAAATCAATGTACATCAACCCAGAGTTAGATCATGTTTTTCCACCCAGGCAAGCCAAGAGGTTTCTATTTCCATTCGGCATTTTTTTCATCCTAGGTCATAGGAGGTGCCCCGGGTCAGGGTCCTGCACACGTGCCTTACATTTCCAGCCACTGGACAAACGTTCATGAAGCATTTACTTCACGCCAGTCTCTGTGATGCTGAGCCTGGACTACACCTATGGCGGCTCACGTTTATCCCTGCCATCTAGTTGCTCACAAGCAGCTCCTTTTAATGGAATGATTGTAAAAAGCACAAGCAGAGCAAGGTAGCTTCTCAGAGATGCAGGGACATCCTCGTTTGTTAGGTCCTCAGTTTCTGGGGGTGCCCGCCTTGCCCGTACAGGTATAATCATAATTACACAAACACGAAGAGGGTGAGCACAGAGGGCCAAATGCCATGGTTGCTATGTCTGCTTTCTCTTGTCATAAATCTCTGTAGATTTGAAACAAACACCACTAACCCCAGCTCAGGGATTCTCTGGGCCAGACTCAGCAGCGAGACATTTTGGAATTGCTGATCCGAGACTTACACGTCTGTCCTCCCGTGGTCCCCAACCCCTTCATTGTGAATGCCACCTCTTTGCTTCCCACCCGCATGATCAGTGAAGACTTTCTCTTGAGTAGCGGCAGGTCCCACAGAGCCACGACTTGGAGAGAAACCCTTCCACTTTGCCTTGAAATTAATTACACTGAATTGTAACTTTCATGTCCAGTTGGATCCTTCGCTCTCCACTCAGTGTTCTTTCGAATTCCCTTTCTCTGGGAACTCACCTGTGCCATAGCTTTACCCATCACCCCCAAGCTTACGATGCAGGCATCGGCTATTTCAGTCACTGTGCAAACAGTGCCTGGTACACAGTACGCTTCTTAGGAAATGCTAACTCTCATTGGCCCCCACAGGTACTTAACGATACCCTCTCTAGGAATCCTTTCTTCATCTCTTTCTCTTTATGTTCCCCAGGTGATGACACTCTCATTCATGTCCATGAAGTCTCAGCTTCTTGATCTGTCAATGAGCTGTGTTCACTGGCAGGATTGTCTGAGGTGCACATGAAATGGTCTGATCCAAGTGCTCAGCCAAGTAAGAGACTAACAAAGCCTGGTGCTCTTATCTGCCTTGGCCTGGGCTCATTCTCCTAGCCTGGGACCTGCTCCGACTTCCTCCTCTGCCTACTGAAATCCTCGCCATCTTTCCAGCACCCCCTGAAAGGCTGTCCACCCTGGCACTCTGTCTGGTTTCTTTCTCCTCTTTATTGTTATGGCTCTTACAGTCAGCTGCCCACGATTCAAAGCTTCTAACACTTCCACTTGGATTCAAGCAGAGCCATCTCTCTCCTCTCAAACAAGGAGAAAGGGTTTGTGAAGGTTAGGTCTGTATCATAAATAATGTTCCCCTATCCCCTTTACAATGCCTGCCTTAAAAGCAGCTTACCAACTGAACGGTTTATAAAAGAGTTTTCATCTCAAGGAATTGTGTTATAATTTTTTTCTAGTTTATTACACACATTATAGTGTAACAGATAATATCTATGATCAAAAAAATAAAGAGAAATCACTCTATATTCCACTCCCATTGCATGTTAGCGGTTGGATTTTTTTTTCTCCCTTTCCTTTTTTTTTTTTATGTCCTTTTGAGCTGACAATTTATACAAAGCTGTGATCACAGTGTGGATGGAATTTGGCATTCTGCTTTTTTCACTTAATATGCTACCACAGGTTTCTAATTTTGTTGTTGTTGTTTTATGACAGAGTCTTCATAATTCTCATTTTTTTAGGGGCTGCATAATACTCAAGCGTGTGGGTGTAGCGTAATCTGCTGACCCATTTCCCTTCTGTTGATCATGGAGTTTGGGTCTGCATTTTCATGATTACAGACAATGCCACAGTTCACCCAGTTGGCATTGTGCTGAGCACCTACAGGGAATCAGAAGCAATGCTTGGCTCTGCAGGAGGCAACTGTGGACCTGTTGCTCTTCTCTTTTTCTGAATTATTTCCTGTGAGTGGGATTTGTGGGACACGGGGCATCAACATACTGGCAGATTCCCAGTGATTTTTAGTCCAATTCTAGGGTCTCTACTTAGAAACACAGAGGACTATTGGAAGTCATATTTGAAAGAAGGTGGTGGAGAGGTGGGTCTCAGCTGCTGTTGCCTTCTGCTCTTCTGACAATCAGTAGAAATGATTGATTCAGGGGCTAAAGGCAGCAGGTCAAGGACAGGGGACAAGGGGATGGAGCAGCTACATAGGAAATGGGGAAGACAGGAGCTCCCAGGCCACCGACTGTTGCTTTTTCAGAAGAGCTGCCCCTCCTGACCCTCTTCTTTGAATACTTCCCACATCCTACTCCTTCTGGCTGCACTGGTCTCCTTTCAGATTCTCGAATTTACCACCTTTTCTAACCTGGGCCCTAGCCCATGCCACTCCCTTTGGTCAGAAATGCTCTTCCTTTGGCCAAATTTTCACCCTTCAATTTTCAGTCCGATCTCGCTCTTTGATGGACCATGTGTCTGATGTCCCATCTGCAGTATGTTCACCAGTACCTTGCATTTCTCCACCAGATCACATCGCAAGCAGTGTAAATTGGTGAATTTTTTAAGTATTTATTTTGTTCCCTCTTCCTCGCCTGGACTCAAACTCCATGAAGACAGTGACTTTCAAGGTGGTTTTGCAGGATGTCCAGCCCTGGCACAGTACTGGCCCCTCACAGACATTCAATATTTATTAAGCAGGCCAGTGAATGAATAAAGGGAAGGATGCTTACAACCATATCATTATGAGGATGAAAGAAAAGATTGCTGAAGGGATAATGGTACTTATTGCCATTGTCCAGACCACAGCTTGAGTGATGCTAATTATAAGAAGGAAAAGCTACCTGAGGGTTATGAAAATAGGCAAAGTTATATCTTGGAGTTCTTTAAAATATGCCTACAGGGCCGGCCGAGTGGCACGATGGTTAAGAACTCGCTTGGGATGCCAGAGGGCCCGGTTCGGATCCCACATATGAGGGCCAGTGACACTGCCCTCTACAGCTAAGATGCTGAACAACAGCTCAACCTGGAGCTGGGCTGCCGTGAGTCGCTGGCGACGGCGTAGGCTGCAGTCCCTGTAGCAGTGGGTTGCCATGGGTACCGTGTGTAGCCAGCAGCCAGCGTGAGCAGCCAGCAGCCGCAGTGAGCGGCCGTCCAGAAGCCGGCGACTGATCTGCTTCGCCCGGGAAGAGCGCAATGATGGTGCCAACTTGGGCCAGTGAAGCAACGTCCTCCACAACTAGACTGAAGAACAAAAGGACAGCAACTTGTCTGTTCCCCTTCCCCTAATTCCCCAGTACTGTTCCCATCCCCCCAATTACCCAATAAAAAAAAAATCTTAAAAAAAAAATAAATAAAAAAAATAAAATAAAATATGCCTACAACGTCTAGACATCTGAGAACCAGGTGGTGAACTTCTAATATCTAGCTTTACAGCTCTCAGTTCATGCCCCACAGGAAATATTGGGACAACTTTAAATTATATGTATATCTCGACATTCAAAATTTAAAACCAAATCTGAAAAGTCAGATTACCTGAAGACTCATTTCCAGAAAAACTTCCTGACTTTCACTTAGTCTAGTCTAAAGCTATCACCTCAAACAACCAGATTTCCTATCTATTTGTCCTTTAATTTTCTATCATAATGTGTGACTTAGAAAAAATCACGCTGCCATTATTATGATGCTAGCTGGACAACTTAATTCCTTTGTACCTTACAGTTTCATGCTGGGAAATGAAAATACAGAAACACTGGCTCTGGGACATCCCCGAATTCCCTCAGGAGCTATGAGTGGAGCTGAACCTAAGAATCAGCCTCCAGCTGAGCAGCAGGAGGGACAACATGCACTAATCACCTGAGAGTGTGGAGATAGTTGGGTTTCCCATCTGATTCCCTGTATTGACAAGCACATGGCCATGGTCGATAGCTTCAGTATTAAGTAGGTGGGTCTTGTTATAAGTCAGTGCCCTTTTGGGTGACTGCAACAGCTGGCAGGCTAGTCTCCCTGCCTCCAGCCTCCACCTCCCCTCCCCCACTTTCATTCTCTGAACATCGCCAGTGACTGTTCAAAACCCAAATCTGATCATGTCACCACTTTGGTCCTTTGGTGGTGCTGTCATACCCAGGTTGGAGTCCACATTTCCTTAGGCTGTTGTGTGAATGAATGAGAAATAAACATCTCTATGTTAAGGCAGTGTTATCAGCTAGCATAACAGCTTTGCAAGTTATAAATTAGCTTCACAAGTTACTTAACTGCTCTATTCCTGGATTTTATCCTCTGCAAAGGTGGGGGGATAATAATGGGGTTGTTGAGAGGATGAAATGAGCTAAAAAAAAAATGTGAAGCATTTAGAACAGAGCTATTCCTACTAAACCCCCAATATGTGTTCAATATTATCACTATTATCAGCAGTGTTAGGCCTCCTTCTAGATGAATGCAGCTGTTCTTTCAGAGAGAGAAGAGCAAGGGGCAACCAGGAGCTCTCCCAAGCAGACACCTTACCTTTTCACTTCTTGCACATAGTCTGCATTTCTGTCGAAGAGGTGGGTCACAGAGTCTTTAATGGCTTCATGCTTGAAAGTAGACGCTGTTCCAAAGACAGTCACATTGGGGATAGTGGAGCACAGCTGAGCCACAGCTTGGCCCTGGAAATGGAATACAATAGATGAGTCACATAGGAGACCTACCGTCCAACAACCAATCTTGCTGGGTGTAAAGCAGGATTCCTCAACCTCGCCACTGTTGGCCATTTTTAGGCCGGATTAGTCTTTACTGTAGGGAGCTGACCTGTGCATAGGATGTTTAGCAGCCTCCCCGCCTCCACCTGCCAGGAGCCAGGAGCACCCCCCTGTTTTGACAAGCCAAAATGTTTTCAGGCAGTTCAACATGTCCCCTGAGGGGCAAAATGTCCATTGAGAATCACTGATGTAGAGGAAAGACGGTGTGAGCCAGCAAAACCCCGGTACCAAGACTTAACACCTATTTAACCATACTGAGCCTGGAGCCCCACATAGAATTTAGCAATAATGGTACCTACTCCTTAGGGATCTTGGGAGATGTCTTAGTTTGGATCCCCCAGAAGCAGACCCTGAGGCGAAAATCCAAGTGTAAGTACTTTATACAGAATGTGATTGCAGGAAATACCAGGGTATTAAGGCAGAACTAGAAGACTGCCAATAAAGGGTGTGCTATCAAGCCCGTATCCATGGATGGCAAGTGGGAGTCCAACTCTCTGAAAAACTCAGCAAGTGGAGAAGATACTTCAGAGTTATCCCAACCAAGTGGCGAGGAAGCTGGAATACTTATCCACTGGATTTCCATCTGATATCCGTCGAGGGCTGCTTCTGCAGCAGTAACTCTTATGCATGTCTGGCTTGTCCTTTGGGGCCAAATAAGCTTCCACAGCCAGACAGAAGGTCTAAGCAAGCCACCTGCAGCATGTTGAGTGCAGAGAAGGTATGGTGTGGCTGACAGCATTTGTCACTGGGGTGTTAAATGAGGCAATATGTAACACAGGTCAAGCACCTGGCACAAAACGCGACACTTAATAAGTACGCAATAAATTCTAATCATCTGTACCCCTTAGTGGCTTATTAGATCCAGGGCTGAGATGTCCAGGCATATAAAGAAAAGGCCAATGCATGAGGTTTAACTCTTAAATGATCAAGAGAAATCATAAATGCAGTCAGCAATGGATGATTTTTCCATATCCTTTTTCAATATGGTCGGGAATTTAAGTCATTGGACAAAACACTGTGACCATGTACATTCAGAAACCTTCCAATAAAACCCGATTTGCTGGTAAATAAGATGCATTCTAAAACCAAGTACTGTCTCTTCCCAGTGTTCCATCTGCTATCTCCAGGAGGAATATGTTGTTAAGGAGGGAAATGATTCTACCAAAGTCATCTGTGATATTAATTTCTGCCTACCACTTTATTTATATGTCTGCATATTGGTGGCCTAAATGAGATTGGCAGGTCAATTTGCGGAAATTTTATTCTTCCAACCTTCACAATTAAAGGCAACCTCAGAGTTGGAGGATCATCCAGTCCCCCTCCCATGATTGTTTTATAGATGAGGGGAGGGGAGTCAGGAAGAGGAAGGTGACCCAGTTCTTCAGAGGCAGAGCCGAGGTTTCAAGCAAGGGCTCCTGATTTCCCGTGATTGCCATTTTCTGTTCTGCCATGTTGTCAACTTATTTTGACATTTAAGCTAAGCAGACTTTTAAATTGCTACCTAAAATAGGCACAGCACTGACACGCTCCCTTGGAGGTCAACATGTCAGAACGTGGGTGTGAACCTAAGACTCCAGACAGACTGTAATTCTCCATTCCAAGGATAGCTTTGATATGTGGCTAAGTTTTGTGATCCCCTGATTTTAGAAAACCAAGAGAGGGGGTCCGGCAGAGTGGCACGTTCGTTAAGAGCTGGCTTGGGACGCCAGAGGGCCCCGGTTCGGATCCCACATATGAGGGCCAGTGACACTGCCCTCCACAGCTAAGATGCTGAACAACAG